TTATCATAACATTGCTTAATCTTAGAAGACTTAATTTTCTTTGAAGTTATCTTGAAAACCATCATCAGGAATCATAGGTCCTAAGTTATGGAATTCCAGGAACCATGGAAAATGCAAGAAAGAGTAAAGAATGACTCTCAATTTCTGGAATGCTCTGAGTTCACCAGATTGGTCTGCCTGTTCAAAGGAGCTTAAAAAGGGTTGGCCAGCTGGGAATACCTGCTATACTGTCCATATGTTTTAGCAGGTGGAAGGGTTGCTCAGTTCTTCACTCTTCTGCTAGGAAGTGGGCGATGCTTGGAGGTATCCAGGTGGTCCCCACTGGGCTGGACCAGTTCCAGCACTCTGAAACTGCAACAAATAGGGTAAGGAAGAGGTATTCACAAAATCAATCTTTAACCCCTGTGCAGTGGAGAGAAATAGCTTCCTTCAGGGAAGCTGAACTAGGCACCTGCTTTCAATCTCTTTTCAGTCACTCTGCTGGGACCTCAGGGAGATAGCTTAATTGGTCCTCTCTGATATACTGGTATAAATAATGATAAAAATAATGTTCATTTGCTCCATAATTTAAGATGCAATTTCTACCAAAATGCATAAAATTCATAATCACCATTGTAGTTCTATTTTTATTACTCATGTCCCATTCCCTGAATAAAAGACACATGGAGAGGGAAAGAAATAAATGGAAATCAAGTTAATACTGAGGAAATGTGTCAAATAAAGTCCTTGGAAGATTTCAAGGTCAGCAACATCAAAAAGTGTGCAGGAAACCTAACAACAGCAAGTAAAATGACCTCACATTTATGAGAACTCAGGTAGAAGAATATGGCTTTGCATTCACCCTACTGATGTTTACATTTCCTGTAGTTTTAGTTTGTTGTTATTAATAATAAGAGATTATTGGAGCAAATAAGCAACACAAATTTACACCTCCATCTGGGGCAGGCAACAACTGCTGTGCAACTGAAGGGAGAGTTCTCACTCCACACATTTGAGGACAGTATTTCCAGAGGAATCTCTCAGGACTCACCGCTAGTTTTCAAACTAAGAGAAAATTACAGGCAAACATTCACTATCAGGTGAATAGCAACAAAAAGCTTTAAAAAATGAGAATTTCCATAGCCCAGGAATACTTAGGATTTCATGGTAATGTAAAGGATCTTTACAATATATCATAATGCACTTTTGATATTTATAATATTGCATAACCAAGGAACTTCAAGCTGCAGAATAATATTGTTATAGTTTTAACAAGGTTACAAGTCCAATGAGATATTTTTAAAACTCATTTAAAAAGTAATGAATGACCTTTTAAAACACATTTTCCATCCACTTTAAAAGACATTAAAAAAATTCAGAATTTTAAATTCCTTTGGATGCAATTTTGCATGTCTGTTCTGAGGGAAATTTTGGAATTTTCAAAGCTTTCATCTAAAGCCTGACCTACAGGAACTATACCCCCTCAAAAAATAGTAATGCATGTGTCTTTGATGCCACTGATTTTTCCCCTCATTTGAAAATACAGCAGCTGTCTGCCATGACAGTTACAAATCTGTCAGGTTATATAAACTGGGAAAAAAACAAAGAAGATGGTATCAAAAGGAATGCCTACAGTTTCTGAGAATTTGAGCTGCTCATTCTATCTCCCTAGGTTTTGGGGCTCTTGCTGCACAGTAAGGACTTGAGAAGCACTGGTCTCCAGTTGTAGAGGTGATAAAAAAGGCTCCTTAAACAGGTAAGAATGACACTGCTGTCTGTGTAGCCCTTGGAACCCCTGGTTTCCTTAGGCTAAGGCTCACTAGCTTTTCCTGGCCCTTAGCAGGAAAACCAAACAAAACAAACTTCTAGAAAACAACATAGCTTTAGATGGAAATGTTACCTGTATTTCAAAAGAGGTTTACCAAATATACATGTCCCTATACAGTTAATCCTATTTATAAGTAATTTTCCAGGAAGAACATTCTGAAGATGCTAACCATATCTCTTCAGACCTATGAAATTGCAGTTAGTTGGACTCCACTGGAAGAGTGACTGAGCAGTCAGGGATAAAAATAAACTGCTTGTTCACATGTCATTCATGCACACAGAGAAAGATTCAGGGCAAGCTGACTAAGCAGTGTTTGACCAATTAAAATGGCTCTTTAGTGCTATTTTTATTAACTACTCCACTGATAATTACGATGACTACTAAAGGAGTGTCAAAAGTTGCAATGGTTTTGGTCTACACTTATAGTCCTACTTTATCTGTCCTTTTTGCCCATCAAGGTTTTTATTCCTTTTAACCTCTGGGCAACATGAAGAACTGTTCTAGTTCCAATGACATTCAACTTTATATGATTTAACAAGCTCTTCTACCATACCTAGCACAGGAACCAAATGTGTTTACGTTGTTGATATACTTCGCTGCTGGACTGTGATCAAGCACTCATGCCAATTTTATTAGCTTTTTTGGCAGTTGTTTACACAAATGATTACCAACTGCAGCTAATTCATTTTCAGGGTCTAGCAGAAGTGGTAGGAATTGATTTTTAGGGGCTCGTTTTGCATCTGCTGGAGAGACAAAAAACACAGTGGTACACCATGGCTTGTGCAGTTCAAGGAGGTCCTAACAGCCCTTTAGGATGAATTTTTGCTATTGTCTTCTTCTTGACACATTTGGTCTGCAGGGATGATAACATTGTGAATTGGTGATAACTGCATGGAGCTGTGTTACCAGACTAGCTCTTGCACATCCATGTTAGAAATGATGAAGAAGTATGTTTCTCTCTAGGCCAATGGCTATTTTAACTTCTGGCTCTGACTAAGCCAGTGGAGCAGGAATTAACACCCAGAGCTATGGAAGGGAGATTTGAGGTGCTCCTACCATGATATGTGTTAGAAAACACGGAGCCTCTGAGTTTGATTACTCTTATTTTCTCTTTTCAAACCATTTTCTCTAGACTGCCTTTTCAGACAGACACCTGCTGTACAGAGAAGACTCAGGCTGTGTCCATAACACCCAGTAACAGCATGGACTGAAGGGTTAGCTCAGTTGGAACTGTAAAGTGTTCACGACAAAAAAATTCTGGAGTAGTTTGCAATTTTTCTCCTGGGTAATTCCCAGAAGAGGTATAGCTAGATGGGATTCACATGCTGCTAGCTTAAGCATTAACATGCTTAGCACCCCAACACAGACACACAGAAACACACACTGCTTCCTGGACAGGTGGCCACCAGTCAGACAAGAGAAGTTGTAGTAATCTGTTCTTTGATCTTTCTGAGGTGTCCAAGATTTCTACTGCTTTCTAGCTTGGACCACAGTTTAAATAATGATAACATTTTTCTCTTGAGTCCTTCAGTTACTAACTTCTAGAATTTCAACAGTTTCTTTTCTATCAGTGTTTTTTTATCTTTCACGTATTTCACAGCTTTGACATATAAAATACCTCATAGCTCAGGTTTTTTTTCAAGAACAAGTGGACCAACATCACATATTTGTGAATACAAAAATAGATGGTTGCTCATAGACATGTACAGCTCAGGGTGTTTTACCTGTTCTACCCAGCAGATATTCCTTGAGTTCAGGAAACTTCCAGGTTGATCTTTTCTTCATGATAAATAAGAATGTTGATGTCTTCATCCCCTTCTGCTCAGTCCTGGGTGTCCATCTGGAGTCTTTGGGCAAGAGCTAAGATATGGTTGGTGTGGCCAAATTTAGGGACATAAGGCTGGGGGTCAGATGAGTTACGGCAGGCACTGGTGGCACAGTAAAGAGTACTGGAGAGATTCTGTGTGCACAGTCTTCAGGAGATGACCATACCATGTTCATGTGTCTCATGTCATAAGGCAGAATCATATTGTTGGGCAGATTCATATGAATAGGACAGAACTGGTGATTTGACTTCATATCACAAAGGTAGTCAGTTGCAATGGTCTGTTCACCAGATGTAATTTAGACACCACTTAAAAGATGAAATTTACCTAAAACAGCTCTTGCTTTTCATGTGGGAATGGCTGGTATGATCACTGTCTCTGTGCCATCTATCTTTGTTTCTGCATAGTATTTCAAATTAAATAGCTTGTTGACCACTTTGTCAGGTCTTTTCTTCTGAGGGTGAACTAGCTGAACATTTCTCATGGAAAGTATTTTCCATGGGAATTGTCACCTGCTCTGATTTGTTGCTTAGAGAAAAGTTACATTTACTTACTCTAGGCCTTCCTTAGAGCTAGCCTGGGCAAAAAGCCATAGAGGAAAGAAAGATAGCGCCAGAATGGTTTTGTTTGTGCCAATTTTTGATAGAGGTTTTTCTGGAGTCTTAATAACTGCAGAAGTCATAAACAGTGCAATAGTCAGTGTGATAGGAAAAAGGCAAAATTGATAGCCTATTTTTAGAGACAGTTTGAAGTTCACTTCGGGACAAAAAAGAGCTGGAGATCACTCTACAGCAACCAGTGCTATGTGATTGCACTGGTTGCATAAAAGGTTTCAAATGTAAATCTCTTTAAAGACTTTCCGTATGAGGAAAATGTCATTTGGGAGACCTGGGTAAGTGTCATGGACCCTGTGGAATGCAGTCATCGACTTCATCTGGTCAGCTGGATGGCTTCCCAGCTATCAGCAATTCCACTGTGGCCCAAGACAAAAACTGAGAGACAGAAGTTGCTATATTTGCTATAAACCAAATGTATTCTGGGCCATTAGAGCAACAAGGGGGTCTTTAAAGAGTTGTTTCTAGACAAATAAAAAACTTGAGATTCACACAGAAGTTACACCTCCAGTGTTCCACCTCCACTTTCCAGGTCTGCCAAGTTTTTTAAACTGACCTGACAAACAGGATTGAATAACTGCCTCTTCCAACAGCATATGGGCAGTCAATTGCTGTTGGGCAAGCAGTCCTCTGGCAGCAAAGAGGGATATACATTTCTGACTCAGAAATCCTCAGATAAAGTAAAAGCACCAGTAATTATCACTGAAGAGGTTGTAGGAACTAAAAGCAAAGACTATAAAGAGACATCAGATCTTTGAAGAATTAATGATGTATTTCATTTTTATACCCTTTCACTGAAATCTTCTGCATATTTTTATTCATTGCACTGTGCCTGTACACTCCTTGTAGATTTTTATATGGTAACCAGATAAATTCCATCTGATGCTCAAATCTTCATACCGGTGATCTCTAAGGATCTATGAAGAATAAGATATTAGGATATAATACAGTTTCTTATGATAGAATACAGTTTTCATATTAAACATAGAAATTCTCCATTTCCAAGATGTCTAATAAAACAGCTTAGAAAACAATTTTATATGCAATACACATTAAGTTTTGGCTATTATAGATCAGCATATCCCAGTGAAGCTGGGATATTGGACTTATACCATGTTATGGTATTATGGACTTATACCAGTTAACAGTAGTTAAGAAATTTATTGGTCTTAAATTGAATATATTTTTTAGCATTACATGCATTCTTACAACACAGTCCAGCAACCTGTGTCTCTCCTGACACTCATATGGCCCCATGTGCCATCTAGTGGAAAAGGTCAACCTCAAAAGATACTGTCAACCTGAGCTAGGAGGGTTTACAATGGAAAATGAAAAGGAAAAGAAATACTAAGGAAAAAGAGAGTCTTCTCTTCGGAAGAGCAACATACTTTCAAATGCAGATATATTACAAGTAGGTGGATAGGGATAATATTTGACAGTTTGGAATTAGTATTAAAATTATTTCCAGTATAAATAAATGCTTTTGAATCTTTAACTGCACAAAAATCAATATTGTCTGAGGGACAAAAGGACTTGTTTTTCTTATTCTAGTGATTAGTCTTGATTTCATAAAGGCAATCTGGAGAAGGACAAAAAAGATAAAGGATAAAAATAGAAAAGTACATGTGGAACTCAGAATTTGAAGGAAGTAGTAAAAGCAGTTGTTAGAATTGATATCAGTGTTCCCGCTGTCTGAATGTGAATGTAAAAGAAATCAATGGAATGTAAATATAGCAAATTATACTAAGAATTATTTCATTACTTAAAAAAAAAAACAGGCTCCATGGGGTTTTTCTCCTTTCCTTTTGCTGTCTCTCTCCAGCTAATCTGCTCTAGAGATGTATTTTCTCTTTTTTTTTCTCTTGTGATAGAATATATCTGCTACGACTTCTGTCTTTCTTCAGTCTTTCCTCTCTTCAGCAGCTGCTTACATCTGTTTTTGCAGATCCACTCTCCCTTAGTCTAATTTTTCTTCTGTCTTAGTCTAATTTTCCTGTTGTTTATAGTATGTTTGTGACTGCAGAACTAGTTTTACTGTATCACCTAACAAATAATTCCTACAGTATTCATCTTCACAGATGCTTTTCTGAACCAAGTTTTTCTCAACACTTAAGCCACCGCAGCAGTTGTGTTAGTGTATGTTACATTTGCTGTATTAGCAACACATGGAATACTAGTAAGTCCAGGGAAGTCCCGTCCATGGAGCTGGACATGGTAGCAGTGCTCCTAGCATCAGGTGCTTGCAGAAAGGTTTACCTGAAGCAAAACTCTTGTTCTGATACCAGACAGGCAAAAACTTGTTGCTGATTAAAGCAGACTGAACTAAGATTCCCACAAATGAAATTTTGGGCAAGATACCAGTGTGTAAAAGTTCGGCACACTCCCTATGTCTTTGTGTGCTTGAGTCTTTAAGATAAAATGTAGTGGCTAGGAGAAATAGACCCATAAACAATGCATATTTTGTCCTCCTCCTGCTGAAAAATCTCAAGCCTTTTCAATGACTTTGAAGGTGAAAAAAGAAAAAAAAAAAAAAAGGCAGCCAATAAAATGTATGAGTCCTATTGTTCCCACTTAAAAGATCCATGTCAATGGATCAGTAAGTAAGCAGTAAGGTCAGTTTCATTATTTTAACATGTTAAAAAAATTGACCTGAAAAATGCAGGAGAAACCGCAACAAAATTTATGGCAGAAGCTTAAATCTCAGCAAATTTATTGAGAATTTTATAAGAAAAAGTGTACTCCTTGATCTAATAGCACAATCCTGTCAAGTAAGTCTTATCATTGCTGAGAGGCTTAGAGGTGTGGGAACTTTTCAAAGAAAATATTCCCCAAAATATCCCACCATGGAAAGTGTCAGTCAGCCAAAAGACAGAAGCTGCTGACTCCCTCCTCTTGTTTCGCTCTTAATGGATCTCTGATGAGGTGAAGTCATATCTATATGTCTTCATACACTAACATCAAACAGACACTTGCAGAAGAAACTAGCACTTCATTTCATTGCTTTCTGATCCAAGACAGGGCTTCCACCAACAAAGAATATCATAACATGAATAAATTTTTATGGAAGAATAAACATTTCTGGAATGTGTAGAATTTAAGCTACTCCAATTGCATTGCTAAAGCAGTTCTATATATTCTCTGGTTCTGCCACTCACTGTTTTAAAGGTATAGCTTTTTTATGAGCGTACTTCAAATCTGTGAAATGTGTATAGACACTGAAAAGATAATCGTAAATTTTGGAGATTCAGTGAGTGAGTCTCTGCTGGTATTCACTGGAAGAGCTGAGTGATGATGAAGGGGAATTAGAGAACGAAAGAGTTAACTTCCCCAGGTGCATGTAGTTGGTGCCAATCAGGGAGCAAGACCTTCCTGGTCATAAGTATGTTTTCTACTTCTGTGTATATACACAAGTATCTATAGCTATATCTCACACTTGCAGAGATTTTTCGCCAAAAATGTGTTCCAAAGAAAACATGCACATAAAATATGGTGTATTCTTTTCTCTTTATAAAATGTTGGTATGTGATGCTAATTTCTAATCCTAAAATCAGGAGGAACATAGTACTACAAGTACCCATGCTCATGAGAGTGGGCAAGATGCTAGCCCATCCTGGGACAAAGAAAAAGCATGAAATAAATCAGAAATAACTGTATTAATTTGGGATAAAATAATTAAAAGATAAAGTGTATTAATATTATGTTATAAAAATTTTTGCATAAATTTATTAAAACACACTTCAGCAGTCAGAGCAGAATAAAAGCTAATTTGCAACTGGTTGTAATGGGCTTGAAATAAGCTTTAGTATTAGAAGGAAGTTCAAATACAGTAGAAAGGAAATGCAATACAATAAAGCTGTGACTCAGGGGGCTGATTGGGATAATGAAATGCATTTCAATGAATTCTGATGGGTAAAGTGTTATTACAGAGGAGCTTATAAATGAGGGGAATAGATGAAATTTGCCACAATAGCACTACACCGTCACAGTGGCTTTTATTACTATAGAAATTATTTCAAAGTGTGAAAGGTACTGTACTTGGTGTTCTAATAACTAATCCAAAGTGACTATCTCTATTTCACTGAGCTTTGTTGTTCATCAGTATCAAAAGTATAGACTCTGTGTCTACTCAGTGACAGAACTGCTAATGCTCTGTTCCTCTTGTCAGCTATGAGTCTCCTCACAGCTCTCCTCACAGAGAGCAGACATTCTGCACATCTATTAATATAAAATCCAGGGAGGCTGTGGAAATTTGCTGTTTTGCCTGCTCTGTGGGGGCCTCCTGTGGCCTGAGTTAGATGTCTCCTTCTCTCACAGCAAGGCAAAAATAACTCCTGAGTTATGAGTTGTGAAAACAGCAGGGCTAATGCCAAGGTCAGAGAGCTGTGGTTTGCTCCCTCTGTGTTTGGAAACATTGCACCTAATATTTTAAGAACTTTAAATTTATATATAGTTTCCTTTGTGCAAATATATACTTTCTTGTTGAAATTTTTCATATTTTAAAAAACCCAAAATTTGACTTGCCTCAAGATAGTAATTAAAACCACCCAGATTTTAAAATTGCATAACTTTTTGATAGATTTCTTCTTCACTCATCCATGTAATCAAATTTTATTAGAGACTGTGGAACATGGAGCAATTACATAATTTCTTTAATTTCCCAAGTCTGTGCTGAAAATTTTACAAATTTCCTTAGATTTAGATACATTGAGTTTTAAAGAAAAACTGTGAATCTTTGCAACTTATGGAATGTTGTTTTAGAATTTCTGTGAATGGTGGTGAAGAATAGATGGTAGGTGAGATGATCTGTAGAGCATCCTTTAAATATATTTAAGGTAGCATTGAAATAATTTTGCATCTTATATAACATAAGATATTATCAACATCTTGATTAATTGTAAACAGAATATATTTTCTTATAATCTTTTGTTCTCCTTAGATTGTGTGTTCTGGGTGGAATTTTGCATGTCTTACACAGTGCTTTCTTAGCACACAATATGTCTTACACCACTGTGTAAGAATATGTTTCAATATTACTATTCTGCTTGCAGCATATCTGACTTAGGAGGTCTTAACCAATTTCCCACTCACTGGTGACTATTTCTGGTTCTGCTCCAAGAGTCTATCACACACAACCCTTCTTTGTGCCATTGGCACAGTTTCTGTGACCTGGGAAACCATGTTTTCCAAAAGGTACAGCCTCGTGTTATTGTTTGGGAAAGAGCCATGCAAAGATCTGGTAGATGGTGCAGTCATGCCATCAAAGAGCACAACTATAGAATAGTGATCTCTTGCAATAAATGAGAAATGAGCACCTCCAAGGTGAGGGGGAAACCCTTAAATCGCACCTGCTGCTGAAAGTGAACTCTCATTCATTAGTCCTAGTCTGTTTGCAGTCCATAAATGTTTGTCTTTCATAAGTTATTTAATATCTTGCCCCACAGCATGATTTGTAACACCTAATGACAGCTCATATTTTACCTGAGCAGCCTGTGAAGCATGTTGAGTTCATGCCCTCTGCAAGATATTTGCATCACATGTCTCCTTATTTTTTCTCACATCTGTTGAGGGCATATAACAGAAAGGGAACATAAGTCCCAGAGAAAGAGCACATGAGCTTCACAGCAGGAGCTATTCTAACTGCCAACAAAATTAATCATATTACAGGAGGTAAATGTGAAGCCAATGAAAGTACCACTTGAGATGCTACTATGATGAGAATTGCTTTCATTGTGTTTGCAGGCATTACCATGCCAGGCAACACTATCAAGGGAAAAACAAGGAGCATAAAAACAGATGTGACAGACCACAAAATGCTATATGTTATATAAAACACGTCTTGAGTCCATAACTGAGGTTAGTCAATAATAGGCAGCACCTTTCCCATGTGGAGTGAAGAAAAAACCAGGAAAAAACCCATCTTGTTCCTGCCCAAGAAATATTATTCGTATTGTGTGTGGATGTGTGAGAGCAAGGGTCATCCATTTCTCAGCTACAATCAGCCTTTGGAAAGTATCAGACTCACACAGCAGGTAGCAGGTTTCAGCAATCACCATGCATCATGTGGGACTGGCTGTCAGTGGAGTGCAGGAAAGCAGCAGAAACAAGCATACAGGGAGGTCAGCTTGCTGTCTTTAGTTTCTCCCTCCCTCCCCCACAGCCTCCTCTCCTGTTGTTCAAGCTCTACACAGTCAATGTGCCAGAGCAAAATAATGCAGTTCAAATGCATTCAATAAACAAAACTGGCCCAAAGAATGGTGGCTGTTCAACAACCCAATACTTTTCTAAAGCAAAGGTTCACAACCTACCATGAGTTTGTTTTGTACAACTATTTGATGCAAGCTCTAAGCAAGTCCATTGGGAAACAAAGAGTTTTTAGGGCTCACAAAAGTAGAACTGTCTGAATTCAGTCCTTAATTTGTAGTAAACTGCTCTGCATTATGTACCATGCTCTGGGTTAACTAACTTGAGAAGAGTGATAGTTCTGATTGTAGGCTTTCAATAATCAGATAAAGCAGTTAAGCAATATATTGGGGGACAGTCAGAGGAAGAAGCTTCACTGACATTGCCTTGATTGCTCCTGACTCTAATGGTGAGCCAAATGGATTTCAGGGGAGCTAATGTGAGGATCTCTCCTTTTACTAACTCCTCCACAATGTAGTATGTCAGAATCTCTCCCCGGCAATCTCTCCATGGGAGATCTGCATCTTCATTGCTCCCCACCTCGTTCTTTAGAACTCTATGATGCTCCTTTACGCCATATCTGATCCAACATTTATTCAAGTTTCACCAGAGATTAAACCTTATCTTCATTCCTCTCTATTCTTTTCCCATTATTAGAGATACCCTCTAAATATCACCATGTCAGTCTAAGAGAAGGATAAGGGAGTAAAAAAATATACAAGTGTGAAAGGGTTAGGTGAAGAGGGTCAAAGCAGCCCTCTTTGCAGATATCATGGTGTTACTGGCACCTTTAATTTCAATACTGTCAGTGTCACTCTTCTTTAGAGCTGCAGCAATATCATAATAATGGCATACTGCATATCATTAAGGCAAACAAAGCAAACCAACAGCTTTGCAATATGGAACCGCAAACTAAGTAACATCCAAATAGAGACATATGGTCTGAGTGCGATCTGTTCCTTGCGAATTGTTGTGCGTTATGTAAGAGCCGAGCTTGATCATTTCCAAGAGAGCAGAGCGGCAGAGCCTTTCCAGCAACGAGCATGTGGCGCTGGGAAAGCGCTCGGAGCTGCTGCGGAGCGGCGGGTCCCGGCGGCGCTCCCAGCGCGGCCCGGCCCCGAGCGGGGCTGCGGCTGCGCGCCGCCCCCACCAGAGGGCGCCGCAACACAGGCTCAGCGCCGCCGCCTCCTGCGCTCCGCTCCCGCCCGGCTCCTCCCCATCCTTCCTGCTCCCTCCCATCCCGCCCGGCTCCCTCCCATGCTTCCTGCTCCCTCCCTACCCGCCCGGCTCCCTCCCGTCCCTCCTGCGCCCTCCCATCCCGCTCGGCTCCCTCCCATGCTTCCTGCTCCCTCCCATCCCGCCCGGCTCCCTTCCTTCCCGCCCGGTTCCCTCCCGTCCCTCCCGGCTCCCTCCCCTCCCGGCTCCCTCCCGTCCCTCCTGCGCCCTCCCATCCCGCCTGGCTCCTCCCCATCCTTCCTGCTCCCTCTCATCCCGCCCGGCTCCCTCCCGTCCCTCCTGCTCCCTCCCATCCCGCCCGGTTCCCTCCCATCCCTCCTGCGCCCTCCCATCCCGCTCGGTTCCCTCCCATCCCTCCTGGTTCCCTCCCATCCCTCCCGGAGCATCCCCCATCCTTCCTGCGCCCTCCCATCCCTCCCGGCTCCCTCCCATCCCTCCCGGCTCCCTCCCATGCTTCCTGCTCCCTCCCATCCCGCCCGGTTCCCTCCCATCCCGCCCGGTTCCCTCCCATCCCTCCTGCTCCCTCCCATCCCTCCCGGCTCCCTCCCATCCCACCCGGCTCCCTCCCAGCATTGGCGGCTCTTTCCCATCCCCGACTGCTCCTTCCCACCCTTGGAGGCTCCCGCCCACCATTGGCGGGTCCCTCCCGTCCCCGGCGGTCTCTCCTCTCCGCCCAGGTCGCTCCTCTGGCTCCGTCGCCCCCGGAAGCTCCTCTCCCTCTCCCTCTCCCTCTCCCTCTCCCTCTCCCTCTCCCTCTCCCTCTCCCTCTCCCTCTCCCTCTCCCTCTCCCTCTCCCTCTCCCTCTCCCTCTCTCTCTCCCTCTCCCTCTCCCTCTCCCTCTCCCTCTCCCTCTCCCTCTCTCTCTCCCTCTCCCTCTCCCTGGGGATGATGGAGCCGCGGCTCACACGATGCTGTGCGGCGCCGAACATGCTGTGCAACACATCGGGCTTGAGGTGGCAGCAGCCGTGAACGCCTTGGGTGAAATTCCAGCAGAGACTAACCTGAGACCTCCCTGGGTGTTTTCTACGCTTAAAAAAAAAAAAAAAAAAAAAAAAAAAGTTAAGAATGTGTCGTAACGGTGGAGAAAGTCGTCCCGCACAAAGCTGCATCTCTCTCGATAAGGCAGACGTGGGACTGGGGCGTCAATCACTGGGAATGCTTTTCTTGAAGTTGAAAGCCACATGCTAAAGGAAACAATGAGTGATGCTCTTGTAGAATGATGTAATGGAACACAATATGAGATTTTTTTTTTTCCTTTAGTCGTCTGAAAATCTTCACAACTTCCTGCAAAGGCACACATAGAACAGTAACTAACTTAACAAAGACGTCTTCATATAATTCCACGTCAGAATTATTATCAGAAAAATGCCAAAAAAAAAAAAAAATGCTTTCAAGGGAAACACATCCCTCTCAAATATTATTATTCTATATATATTTTTTTTAATTACATTGACTGTTTTTTTTCCGAATGGCAGGACAAAGGAACCAGCTAGAAGATGTTTTAATTTAACATCTCAAATAGAAGCTGGCATCTAACCAGCAGTCTGAATCAGCAAAGTGTTAAAGGAAAAGCTTCAATGCTTTCCAGAAACAGGAGGGACTTAAGCAGATGTTTAAATGTTTAAATCTAAATATGTCTGTACGGGCTTTGCTGCGTTTGAGAGCGGGAAAGCACAGAAATGTCAGCCCTGGGCTTGCATCTCCATCTTGACAAGAGTGCTTTGGTCCTGAGAGGAGTGTTACCAACTGAGTTCAGTATCCTACAGGTCAATCCAATAAGAGCACTGAATGCCTGCATAAATGCACATCCCATAGGTTTCATTATGGAGATTGGACAGTAATACCCCAAGTCAAAGGAAAGTTTTATCCCCAACATTCAAAACGTTAATGGAGCAGTTTTCAATATGAGAAAGAAGGATACCATGAAAATCTGAGATTCCCTACTTCATCTCATAAAAAATAAAATGTGTCTTTAATACGTTTTAGTGTTGTGATCATTATGTGATTATGTTGGTTGGTTCTAATAGAGGCAGGGTGAAAAAATGTCAGCTTTCGTAAATGAATTTTCTATGAAAAATTGTTATTAGATGCAGTTCTGACAGGTGTTCAGGATCATCCCATTTTTCTGAAAACAGAAAAAGAACCCTCTGTTCTATAACACATATATCAGAACCAGGGGAGAAGAACTGGAGAATTAACCACATATTCATTTGATGCAGGTCAACAGTTAGACACATTCTGTGAACTTACACAAGCTAAAGAAGGAGCTTGGTGTCTTGAGGAACATGGATCAGTACTGTCAGTTATCACCCCAGCTCATTACTCTTCCTCTAAAATTGAAATAGCTAAATGCTTTGTGCATTCTAGAGGGATTTGCTGGAGGAGGAGGCTTTTCTTTTCCTCTAACAGTAAATGATACCCCTTAAAAACTGGGTAATTAATCAAGCCTGTATAGCTGTGATACTGTATCATAATAAGATTGATTAGTCACTGGGTGTACTGTGATGGAGACAGATAATAGAAATTAATTACTGACCTGAACATATTAGGAAGTTTTGGTATACTGTGTTTGGTGGTGTACTGGAGAACCTTGCCACACATCATCTAATGAAAAAATGAAAAAAAAATCTCCATAGGTGAGAAAAAAAAAATAGACTATAGAGAGGAAAAAGATCTAAAAGAAGACTTTCTTTCCTTGGTTGCAGAGAGTAATGTAGGATGTAGCGATTTGTTTAATAAAGTGTGACATATTTTCAGACCTAGCTCTTAGTAACTTAGAAATATAATAATCAAGGATTTCCTAATCTTCCAGTAATTAATGGCATTCTAGATGGCAGATCTTGGAGAAGCATTTCCTGGAAAAATGTAATGGGTTTTTTTAATGAAATATTTGGTGAGATGAGAAATTTGAAAAAAATTGTTAGGAAGAGTGAAAGTGAATAGCAACAAGGTGAAGAAAGATTTTAGCACCACAATTGTCCTAAAATTAGGAGAGGTAAGATATAAAGAAAACCAGAGGCAATACTTCAGTATTTCCTGAAGTAAATGCTGATTTACTTCATGGTAAATCAAAAGAGATTTACCATGAAGAAAAAGGAGCTTTTCAGGTAACAAACATCAAAAGCATACACAGGTTTAGCAATCCTGTGCACACAGCACACTTCAGAAAGTGTAAAGTACTGTGGGAACATATAGTAAAAATAACACTAGCATAAGGTATTCTCCTACTGCCAGATCTGCTAAGCAAATAGGAACTTCATTTTGCACCAGCTGCAGCATCCAAGTGGTCTACAAATGTGCCATATGGTCTGCAATACATAGATTGGTGCTCTAATACTATGGCTGCCCCCCACTGTACCCAAGTATGTAGGACATATGCTACACTCCATTACTTAATGGTGCATTACCTTGCATCTGTAGGCATTAAGTGACAAATTTCTGATACTTTTTCTTCAATTTAAAGGATTACGTTTTCTGAATTTTCTGTGGAAACACATTTGGATTCCAGTTAAACATTGCAATGAACCAAATCTTAGGTAGATGTACATTATTAGACTTCTTTTTAGCTGTACATAACTTCCCAAGGTTCAACAGGACTCATTTGCTAGATGGCTGTTGAAGAAAATGGGGAGCAGCTGAACTACAGCATAGCATCATTTTGCTACATATGCCACCATATGGAGACAACATAATTCATACCTTAGAAAGCTTGTACTGTCTGATCATCAATATGATTACTTCAGTTACAAATACTTGTGGGTCATGAGGTTGGACAGCTCGCTATCAAAACTCATTTTTGTCTTGAATCTCTTTGCATGATTTTAGGTTTTGTTTTGGTGGTTTGTTTTTTAATGGAAGCTTCTGTATTTGGGCAGTTATCTTCCTGTCTCAGACCTCAATTAAGTTTAAATATAGTTCTTAAACTGGTGTTTTCAGATGGAAGTTTTACAGGAGCTATGATGACAGAAAGCTTAGTTCTCATTAGGAATTACAATGGCTCAGCAGCACAGGTCATTTGAGGATGCTGATGCAGAAACATGGGATTAAATCAATTTTATATTTCCCCTTAATATCCTATCAGAATAATCTTCTTATCCCGTATCATTAAATCACATAAGAACTTAAGATGACAGCTAAGCACAATTAGAATTTCCTAGAGGATATAGCAAGGCATTGGAATATTGCTTCAAATACATATACAGGAAACATGCTCCTCTTTAAAAGGATTCTTTTCTCCAAGTGTCCTGCAGGGATTAAGCAATTCATACTAAGAAGCCCTTGGTGTAACTCCTGTGCAACCAGGAGTGTTACTAGGTGGTCTAGGACAATTCAAAGTCATTATGGCTGAGACCACAACTTTGAAATATTATGGACGTGACATTTAAAATTTAAAATTGGGAAAAAGATAATTTTCTAACACTATTAAAACTGACTTATTTCATATACAATATGTGACTAATGGAAGAGAGAGGAACCTCTTGGCCTTTCCAGTCCTCTCCTATTTTTAGTAAGTGTGCATTGCCCTTTACTGTATTTTGATTATCCATTTTTTAAAAGAAAGGACTGAAACTTTCTCCAATCCATCAAAATAAACATTATTTTTAGGGTACAGAGTTCTGTTAAAAAAGAGATCCTCATAGACATTCATAGGCTTAACAAGGTAAATTCCATGTTTAATTGTAGAGGTTGTTCAATTAGCAGTAAGGAATATACCTACACTGCCACCAAAGAGATAACAAGTATTTTAATGTTTTGGTTTTTATTTTTCAAACTATAACTCTGTTTCCTTTACTAATGGGTTTAAAACATAGAGTTACATTCATCCTACATTTTCTGAATAATGCAAATATTGTATAGGAATTTTAGTCTAACTAAATGAAAAGTATATATATGCTGGGTGCATGTTCATGGTGATATCCATTTCACATTTTAAAGATTAAGGAAGCATTGATTCTT